TAGTTCGAAAGGACCCATCGCACCGAGGGGGAAAGACTGGGCATTCTACTCCCATTTGCAGTTGTAGTCTCAGAAACTCACATGGACAGTTCTACCCTGTCCTGTGAGTTAACTTTGACTCAATGGTAGTGATACCTATTTTGAAAATTGACACTGCCTGATTGTATAGTGTGGTCAATGTGTTGAATCCTTCAAAAGAAAAGGTTTACCAGTCAGTGAAGTGAGTGAACAAACCAAAAACCAAATTCGCTGCTATTTAATCAGTGCTACTTCATAGTGACCCTATAGGACAGGGTAGAATCACCCCTGTGAGTTTCTGAAGCTGTAACTCTAATAGAGTAGAAAGCCCGCTCTTTCTCCCATGGCTGGTGATTTGAAACTTTTGATCTTGCAGTTAGCAACCCACATGTAATAAGTGCGTGAACATGGAAATGAGTTTAGGTATCAGTTTAATTGAATTGAGAATTTCTTTGCATTGCATGGGCCTCATGACATAATGAAAGGAGCACAGGATTTGAATGTAGAAAAAACAAATTTTAAACTCAGCTTTAGCTTTATCAGTTGTGAAATTGGTAATGCCTGATTGAATAGTGCGTATTAATTACATTTGGTATATTCCCTTAGTTCCTCCTAGGTAGAAGTGGGACTTGATGGAAATTAAAGCACCTTTCAACTTTTATATTTATGATTCTGTGGCTTCACTCAGGATTTACCAGAATCGATCCATGTTTCTAATGAATAAAATGTAGTCTGATCGCCACTGTTTTTCCTTACGTATTTTTTTGAAGTTTGACTTATAATTTCTTTTTGTGTGTGTATAGCCTTACATCATGTAGGTTAATACATGGAACCTTTGCCCATAAATTTGGTTGTTTCATATTTGCCATAAGTACTACATAAAGGAATGAAACTTCTGGGACATTTTTATTTCTTTTCATTTTTATCAATTATATTATTCTGTGCTCTCATTCACTGACATATTATGTAGATCAAAATACAATGTATGCCTTTACTTGAATGAAGTAGTTATTTGATTTTGAGTAAATGATAATGATAAATATTCACATTAAATATTGAGTGTTCACTGTAGATTTTTTGCGCTTGAGTTATGTATGTACTGAAGAAAATATTTTAAAAGAATGAATTTTTTATTCTGTTACAGTTTTTAATAAAAATTTTGTCATTCAAAATGATTTGTGAGAAAAAGGTATATTAGTTATCACCTGGAATTTTAATTATCATCTATGTAGCGTGTAATAACTTACTGCTAAGAATGTAAGAAATGTAAAAGGTGTCAAATGTGCATCATTGGTGCATTAAATGTGCATCAAAGGTGCCTTGGTGCATCAAAGTTAATGCAAAAGGTTTGGGGGGGGCATTAATGGGGGTGGGACAGAGTATTGGTAGAAGGTAGTATGGTATGTTGCACAAGAGTGTAGAGGAGACAAACTCATTTTCACTTGGATTGCTGATGAGGTCATGGAGTAGGTGACATGTCAAGTGAGTTTGAAAAGTGAATTGGGACACTGGTTCTTCTGCTTGAGTTCACTCAGGAATCATCCTTATCTGGCCTGGACTCTGTGGGGGAGGTGGAGTTTGAAAAGCTAATTTTTAAGAGTTCTGCAGTTATATCTGAGCTTAATGGAGCAAGTGACAGGCCAACTGCATTTGAAAAGTGAACGGGGACACTGGTTCTCATACGTGAATTCCCACAGGAATCACCTTTATCTGGGCTTGGCTAGTAGTGGTGGGCGTGGGGGTGTAGAGTCAGAATCCGGTTTTTAGTAAATCTGCAGTTGTAGCTGAGCTGGCAGCCAAAGCGACACTTTGAGGATACTTGTATTAGAGACTTAGAAATATTAATTGAAGGTTCTTGTGTTAGATGAGTGGCAATCAGACAAGTATAGTATGAAGGATTTAATACCCTTGTGGGAGAGATTTGAATTTCTTTCCAATGCTGTGAATTTCTGTTCTTTGCTACTTTTCTAAAGAGACTTACATATATACTCATGTATAAGACGAGTTTTTCAGCACATTTTTAATGCAGTTTTGTGGTAAAATTAGGTACCTTGGCTGATAGGTCGGCTTATACCTGAGTATATATGGTACTTAAAACATATAGACTGCTTTCTTGGCTGACATTTGATTGGCTTAAGGCTGTGTCTTGAAGCTTGAAGTAAATTAAAATTATTACAGAAAATTCAAAAATACTCTGAAATGTTCGATTTTAGGAACGAACTTGCCTTGACATGAGTTTTGCCTCTGTTACTAAGTCAAGAATGAGCACAACTTCCCTAAAGGAACTTTCCAAAAGTAAATTGTGAACTGCCTTCCGATTTCTAAATAACCTACCTTTGAGTTGTTGAAAATGTAATCTTTTAAACCCTAGTGAAATGTGAATTATTTTATTGATGAGGTTTGATTAAAATGATTGTAACACAAGTTGAAAAATTGTGTGTAATCATTCAGTATTTCTTAAGAGCCATCTATATGGCCAGTGTTTGGTGTTGGGTTGTTAACCACAAGGTTGGCAGTTTAAACCCACCAACCAGCCTCTCTACAGGAAAAGCATGCGGTTATCTGCT